GTGGGCAGCAGAACTAAGACCTTTTATCCAACCTTGAAATGTTGATCCTTGGCTTTCTTGTCATAGAAATGTTTCTGACTGTCGTGAGCTACATACAAATCTGTTGAGCAAGTTGACAGGTCTCTTCCAGTCAGTTTCTGAGGTCTAACACATACTGATACATGTTCCTTATTTCTGACTCTTCTTCTCCTGTCCATAGCTATTTCAGTATTTGCATCGGACATCGTACTGTTCTTCCATACAGTAATTCAAAGGGTAAAAACCCTGTACTTGCCTGTGGGACTTCTTCATAAGTAAATAATACTGCCTGCAAGTACCTGTCCCAGTCATTTGGTCTCTCTTGGCACATCTTCTTTAGCATGCTCTTTAAAACTCCATTGACTCTCTCACAAAGTCCATTACATTTAGAATTGCACGGGGTGGTAAAGAGTTGCCAAGTACTGATGAGCCTGCACACTTCCTTGCATCAGTTCTGAGGTAAACTGGGTTTCTCTGTCCCTCAGGATTTCATTCAGAAAGCCTACTTTGCAAAATATCTCCAGAAGGGCTTCTGCTACTCTTTCTTTCTCTATCTTTGCCAGTGCTGTTGCTTCTGGATAACGTGTTGCATAGTCGACTACTGTAAGCACATACAGGTTGCCATTATCAGACACAGGCACTAGTGGTCCAATCAAGTCCACAGCTACTCTACTGAATGCTTCATCTATGAGAGGCATCTTCCCCAATGGCACCTTGGCTACCTTTCCTTTTGGTATTTTTCTTTGGCAGATGTCACACGATCTGCAGAATCTACTCACAACTCCTATGACTTCTGGACAATAGAAGTTACTGGTGATTCTGTCTGCTGTTTTCTTTGTTACTAGGTGTCCTCCTACAATTGATTCATGAACCAACTTTATCACTTGAGTTCGGTATTCTGTTGGTACTATGATCTGTTTAACTTCCCCAGTATAAATGATGTGCTAGATTTGGTGTAGAACTCCCTTCCATTCCTCTATTCTATATGTATTATTCCCATTTGTTTTGTACTCGACTTTCTTTTGGGCATTTTCCAAAAGTTTCTGCAGTGAAGGATCTTTCTTCTGTGCTTCTTTTAGTTTCTGCAAACCTAATTTCAGAATGTCGACTTTTGACACTTAAAGGGGCTTGATGTCTTGTTTGCTCTTCTTTCCATGAGCTCTGGTTGTGACAGCAGATGCTTCATCAAGCTTCTTTCTGCTTAGTTTCTCCAGATTTCTACTGTCCGGTATGTTTCCTATTACCAAGTTATGTATTGGTTCATTGATACACATGGCCTCAAGGTCTCCTACATAATATGGATTATATACCTTTATTTTTGCTATGGGGAACTTTCTCACTGTCCCATCGATTAGCACACACAGCTGTACCTTATCTGTCATCTGATCATCAGATACAAGACTAGTTCTCACTGCTGCACCACTGCACCCAGTGTCTCGTAGAACCTTTACTTTCTTGTCCCCAACATAGCCTTCACATATTGGCATATTATGATTTGTTGGCACCTCTTAATATTTGTCACAAGCTCCCACCACTATTGGCACTGTTGATCCATTTGCTAATTTGAGCCAACCATTAGTCATGCACTGATCGTTCATTCTCTTTTGTATTGAAACTGAGGAGTAGCCTTGGTTCTCCTTATTCTAGTAGCAACATCCATAATGCCAGTCACTCGTTTCTTAGCACTGTCTTTGTAAATAGCTCCAGCTGCTTCATAGTGAGGTTCCAGCTGTTGTTTGCTGGCATTGGACTTGCACTCCTTTGCAATGTGTCCCGTTTTATAACAAACATAACATCTCATCCCCCTTCTGTCTGTTAACCTCCTGTCACCTTTGGTAAACTCCTGCTTCTGGTCAGCCATTACTGGTTTCACATTTAACTGTACATTCTTGGACTTTCTAATTATATTACCTCCATGGGCTTCCATATACTGTTCTCCATCTGGATCATCTCATTTACGTCTTTTGGTGCTCTCTCCTTTAAGAACAGTGGCATGTCATTTGAGCACATGATCATGAACTGTTCTCACACTAATAGGTCTGCCAAATCCTTCAACTCTATTTTCAAACCTGGCCATGTCAGTCCATCTGGTGAAATAACGCCACAGATGTGCCACAAACTGAAATACAGTTTCTTCAGTGTCAGGTTTGACTCCTCTGAACCTCCAACAAAAACCTTTCTTCAGTAAGTTCATATCATTTCAGTAAAGCTACTTTTAATTTATCATAATCCATGGCATCTTCTGACATCATGCCTGCATATATTTATAAGACTTTTCCTGTGAGTAGTGGGCTGAGACAGACTGCCCAGTCACCTTTGGCCCAGTTCTGACTTTGGGTGAATCATTCATATCTCTCCAGGAAAGCATCCATGTCATCTTGATGTTCATCAAATTTGGGTAGTTTGGGTCAGTTGGGCAAGTTTTGCTATCTCACATTGTGCTCTTATTCTCTCTATTTCTAGTCTCTACTTTCTGTCTTCTTTTTCAATTTGTATTATTATTTTTTTTCTATTTCCTTCAATCTTTCTCTTTTCTTAATTTGTCTTTTCTGTTGCCATTCTTCTCTCTCAAGTTCTTGTTGTTGATTGACAAACTCTCGTAGTTCACTGTCTTTTAACTGAAGACGTTCTCCCATTTCTATCAATTTATCAAAAGTTCACATCGTTCTATACTGTGATTATAATCTCTACACTATATGCAATATTACTACAGTTGTGCTTAGACAGGCCTCCTTGTTTTTTGCTGGCATTCACTCTTTATTTTACCGCCATTTACCACTGCATGATCCTGTCATGGACACCAATTTTCATGTTTTGTGTGATTGTGGATTCTTATACGGTAAGTGTATGTAACTTGTTGACGGTAAAGGTAACAATGAATGAACACCATGCACTACACTTGCTTCAAATCAATACATACATATATATATATATATATGTATATTCTGAACAAACAAATGCATCTTCAATCGTCTGATTCTTTATGCTTTACTGGCCCACTTTATATCTATCGTCTCTTTTTTAGTTTGCCACCACCTCTTTACTTTCAGTTCCTACATGTCACTCTATCTCTCAACAACAGCAAGTCACAAATGCAAAATGCATCAAAATTAGAAAAACAAAATAATATAGCAATAATCATACAACACAACAAATCAATAAGTCTTTTATATTGTGACAACCAAGTAAAATTCAGTAAGGCTCCAGGTAGACCATAATGTCTTAGACTGTTAGTAATAGTTTTTGCCTATTTATTGAAGATACCAGTAACAATCTAAACATGGTTTGAATTAGTTTTCAGCCAAAGAGACATAAATGTTATCGAATGCTGTCACTATCCAATGGGTGAATAAAGATTTTTGGCCGGATGCTAGTAGTGTCTACTCAGGCTTAAGGAGTCAATAAATATACACTTGGATGTTTGAAAAAACTGCTTCTGAAAAATTATTGTTTTATTAAATTTTTTCTATTCTGATTATTTATATATACAACTTGAGTAGAAAAGGTTCGAAGTAATTTTAATGACTGTGTGTAATGTAGCTTGTGTTATTTGAATAATCTTATAATTACAAAATAAATTAAGATGATACTTTTATTAAATTATTTTTAGTGATGGAACAAAACATTGATCAGCAAGAACAAACTAGCATGATGTCAGCAGATTTTAGGATATGCAAAACACAGGTAAGACAATGTTTGAGTTATGTTGCCATAGAAGCAAAACAAAACAGTAATGTTGTCTTAGTTACCCTGATATGTAATTGGGTTTGCTATACAATTATGCTGAATAAACAGTTTTAGTGGTGTGTGTGTATATATTGGAAATTTATCAGACAACAAAATAGTTTACTTGGCTTTTAGTAAAAATGTTTAATTTAGTTTTTGCTCGAAGGCTTTCGACACCTTTATTAAGTGTTAGTTTTAAAATATGCTAACAGTGTGAGAATGTTTCTTAAATAAAGAAGAAATATTTTGCTCCAAATGATGTTTCAAAATTCCCTTCTGATGGAAGATGTATGCAGATTTTTGATTGAGTTGCTTTGTGTTCCCACAACAATTGATAGTTAATCTTTTTTATTTTAATTATGGCATTTTCTTTAATATACTTGTTTTTTCTTTTGCATTTCATCAGAAAGGTGAAGGTGCATGCAAAAATAAATTGGAGTGTGCATAGTTTCTAGATATCTATGTCACAGATTTACTTCAATTTTACTACAAATGTTCAACTTTTTGCCAAAGAAAGTGCTTAATATTTGTTCCTAGGTGGAAATTCTTTAATGTGGTGTTTTCAACCCACGTTATGAGATTCAAAAGAATACCTGAAAAATTATCTTTGATCATCAATCATGTAAAAATTGCTAATTAAGAATTTCCAAATTAGAGAGCTAAGGCATGTGAAAACTGTGCAATTAGAGTATTGTTGGAGTGAGTGAAGTATATTGAACATTTGTGAGACTTGAAATTTCCTATCATAATATGTCACAAAGTTGTTGTATATAAATTTATCAGAAATGACTTTGGTAAAGGCCATCATGTCAATTTTCACCACCTTGGAAAGAAATATGAATTTTCTGTTGAAAACCAAAAGTAGGTTGGGATAATTTGAATGTTAATATTATCTCTCATTAGCATTTTATGGAAAATGTTCTTTGCACTAGATATAAAAAGTTTTGTGTTGATTTATAATATTAATGCTTGTTAACAGTTTTCAAATATGTATTGCAAGTTTTGCCAGTAAGCATGGTCATATGGATTATGATTGCAATTTGTAATTAGGATAAATTAATTGTTAGTCTTATTATATAAAAGAAAAGGGGGAATACGAGAATGTTTCTGCATTTTTGTAAATAAAAATCTTTCATTTTAGGTTATGCATGAAGTTAAATTGTTAACTGATTGATAATCTTTTAGATAACTTATGAAAAAATTAGCTTTTTTTAATTTAATATTTAATTTACCTTATAAACATTAATTTAATATTGCTGTTGTTTAGACTTAATAATTTTTGAGTTATGATATACTATAAAGTATGTATGTTATTTTATCAAAAATGAATGTAGGCATAAGGTTATTGTGCATTTGTTATTCTGTTATAGGAAGCAAATGGCACTTCATAATGTTGTTGTATTGCATATCGTGAACCAAAATAGTGATAAAAAAAAACAAACATTGGCAATATATGTACTACTAAAATCAGTAGTAGAAATGTTACACACCAGTGTTTGATAAAACATGCTAGTTCAGTAGGGCCTGTGAAATATTTGATATTCAAAACATTTTGGAATATATTTAAAACTTTTTTATTACTTATCATTGTAATTGACAAGAGTTCTGAAAGAAAAAAGAATTGGTATTTTTACCAATACACAAAGATACTATTATATTCCACAGGAATTGAATTCTGTGTCTCATCTTTTTGTAATGTTCATAAAGTTGCTTGTTAATTTTTTTTTATGCCTTTAGAAATACCACATGACAAAATAAACACTTGAAACTATTTTAAAAGATAAAATTTTTTTTAACTTCTAGCATTCTATGCTATCCCAAAAGTTTGTGGAGGTGATGACAGACTACAATAAGACACAAACAGACTACAGAGAGAGATGCAAGGCACGAATTCAACGGCAGTTAGAAATTAGTAAGTTGGAAAATTTATGTAATTTTCTTAAATCAAAAATTTACAAGTTTTTTTGTGGGAAGGTAAATTAATAAGGTATTTACAAAAAAATGTAAAGTTTATTTTAAAAATTGAGAAGTATTTTTTGTCTTCATCATAAAAACAAAATCTGGGGTAAGAGATCATTATAAGAATTGACAAAACCTTTAAAAACTGGAATTATTAACATTTATTTTGCATGATACCATTAGTGGATAAAAAAAAATTCCACTGCTAGACTATTTCAATGTAATAATGTTTTATTTTGCCCCAGCGGGTAAAGTGACAACTAATGAAGAACTAGAAGATATGCTGGAAAGTGGGAATCCTACAATATTTACACAGGGAGTAAGTAGAGGCACACCTGTAAATATTAAGAATAACTGGATATAAAACTTAAAGAACTGTTGTATTGGTAACAGTGGTATCATTTTCGATATGTTATATTTTGTTTGGTGTATACATGAATCATATTTAAAATCCATTAAAGACTTGATGACCAAAGGACATTAGAGAATTAAGCATTACTCAAAAATAGTAACATTATTACTATGTAATTGGATTTTATTTAACTAGATACTTTTAACTTATGGTTGAATAAGCCCTGTATCTGATTAAAAGCATATTAAATGAGTGGTTTTATTGTAAACTACTAGTGTACAAAATAAAAACTTACCTAAACATAAAGAATGCAAAACTACTTGCAAAATAATATTAAAGCAAGATGAATGCTTTATTTCTTAAGGTATGTTTAACAGATTTACACTATAAGAAAGTTTTTATGCTTTTTACAAAATTCTGCACAGACAGAAGGCTAAGTCTTGCTCATGTTATTTTGATTGAGGCAAACACAGGTGTTATTTCATAAATTCTTGGGTTTTAGGTTATGATTTTTTTCCAAGTTAATTCATTTTATCACACAGATAGATGTGGGATATTCTTTTATCTTGAATGCTAGGTGTTGTTTTAATTTCCAAATTTAAATTGACAGTCAATGGAAATCTTTAAAAATATAAGATTGGTAAGATGGTTTTGGACATTGAGATTGAGAATTTTTTTAAATGTGAGAAATTAAATTCTAAGAACTGATATGTCTCACTTTTTTTTTTAGAAGTGTGTAAGGCAGGAAAAAAAGAATAAGAAAAGATGTGTTTCTCATGGTTGCTGCAAAATTATTGTAAAGTGAAACTGTGAAACTTATATTCACATACTTCTATAATTAATTTAAAACTATAGAAAGCTTCAGAAGACAACTGTTTTAAAATTAAAATTATAAACAGCCTGAAAAAATTTAAATTAATTAATGTTTTTCTATATATAAGTGAACGTGATTTAACTTTTAATATTGTTTTTAGATCATCATGGAGACACAGCAAGCTAAACAAACATTAGCTGACATTGAGGCTCGTCACAACGATATCATTAAACTAGAAAACAGTATCCGAGAATTACATGATATGTTTATGGATATGGCTATGTTAGTTGAAAGTCAGGTAGGTAAACAGTGATGTTGGTGATTAAAAATGTCTTGATAAAAAAGTAAAGTGTTACGTGTACTATTTTGAAATTCTTTTAATGTCTGATGGTAGAAAAAATTTTTGATATGTTGAAGTTCAGGTTAGTCTTTAATGTGTATAGATAGACTGATCAGTGCCTTATAAATATAATGAAAGCATCATTTTAAAGTTTAGAATTAATTATTTTTAATAAAAGGGCTAAATAAGGATAAAAGAACTTAATGAAAACTCACTGCATTTTGCCTAGTTCATCATCATAATGTTTAGTGAAATAGGCATGATGATGTGGTGTAGTACTAATCATATTTTCTCTTTAGCTATTTTGATCTAAGTATTATTTGACCAATGGTATATTTTGTCGTGGTCTCAAGGTTCTGTTTATTTAGTAATGAAATTTATTTTATAATTTCAGTGTTTTTGTGTTTTGGCATATTCCTGAATGTCTGATCTTGATATTACTCTTTAATAAAGAAAGAAATAATGCAGATAATAAAATAAGTCACATAATGTTTGTTTTTATACAACCCTCTCTCTATTTCTCTCCTTGTATGTTATGTAGACCATTGTCAAACTAGTACAGCTAATAATCAAGTTATGCTTTCTGAATTGATTGATTTTGATAACAGAGCTTCTAGTAGTCTATAGATGTTATCATTAGCAGTGACTCATTGACTCTCTCTATTCATTTCCTAAAAATAAATAAAAATGTAAATTACATAAAGTTAAATTACTACATTTTAAATTTCAGGGTGAATTGATTGATAGAATTGAATATCAAGTAGAACATGCAAAAGATTATATTGAAGCTGCCAAACAAGACACAAAAAAGGCTCTTGTATACCAGAGCAAAGCAAGAAGGGTAAGTAATTCTGAATCATGAATAATACTTTCCTTTGTAAGTCAGTTATTTTCAAAAGTGTTGAATAAAGTGCAGATAATGTATTCAGAAAAATATTATCTTTAAGGTTAAAGTAGGATGAAGGAAGTTTTCAGGTACTGTAATTAAGGAAATGAGCATTGTGTAATGATTGTTTGTAAATTACCCCTTACAGTACCTTCAGGAGTTTTGACTAAGCTACTTCAAAGTAAAAAAATAGTAGTTACAAGATAACTTTGATTTTTGAGTAAGCTGTACATTAGAATAGCAGCTTTAAGGAGCTGTTTTCAGGAGTTTTGAATAAGGTACACTTTAAAACAGTAATTACAAGAAGCTATATTTGATGTTTTAAGTAAAATAATTAATACCATAAGTAAAAGAAGCTGATCTTCAGGAGATTGAAGTTAGTACAGATTAAATAGTTATAAATAGCTATTTTCAGAAATTATGATGAAATTTCATATTTTGTACAGTAGTTAGAATAGATGTTTGAATTTTTCAGGTTTTATTTTGCATGTTTTTCATTTACTTTATGGCCATTTTAAATATGTACTTATCCTGAAAAATATACTTCAAAAATATTTTTTCTCTTTCTGGTAATGTAAATTTTACTTTTTAGTTTCAATACTTGATCCATTTTTTATTTATTTGATTTAAAATTTTGATTGCTTTCTTTAATTTTTATTTTATTTCAGTATTTACATTTTCCCGTTTTTTTTTCCTTTCCTAGAAAACATTCTGTATAGTTATCCTGGTCATAGTATTGGTTGGAGTATTAGGCCTCATTATTGCCTTTTCCACTGGAATCATTCCTTAGTGGTTTGTTTTTTAGTTTGAAGAAAAATTTGCTCGGATTTATCACACACATTATTCTTATGTTTTCACTGCTTCTCGCCACTATAAACAGTATACCAACAATGTTCTATATCTCATAGTACATATATAAAATGACCTATTCACACTTGCTTTTTAAAATCACTAACTAGTCTGCACATACTAATTTTTTATACATTTACATTTATAAGAACTTCCTGCTTATGAAGAATAAAGTAGTCCATAAAGTTTGAGTATCAACACTGTTGTTTTTCTGTTTTTTTTTCACATAATTCAATGTACAAGCACTTTGAAATAATTTGATTGTGATTTATGCATTTAAAAGGTTTTGCTTCACTTCACATATTATGTTTGTACTACAACTTATTATTTGTTTGAACTGAATAAAAACAGTTCCCTTTTAGTAGAAGTAAAAGGAAATTAAGTTAATAATTCATAGGTAACATTAAGTACTCTTCTAAAGAAAATGTATGTACACATTGTTTGTTGTTACATCTTTCTGTTGTAAACATAATTTTATATTTCTTCCGGTAATTGAATTGTAAGACCTTTGAAATGAGAATACATATAATGAGAAAAGTCCATTGAAAATGTTTTAATTTATAAAACACCTGCTTGGAAGACAGGTTTAAGTGCCTTATTTACATTTTTACATTAAAAAGGAATATCTTGTTTTAAAGAATCTTTCTTTAACTAACTGACTACACTTTGTAGGTGGATAATGAATGAAACCAAGTATATATATATATATATATATGTATATATATAATGGGTAGTTCCATTTGTACATTTTATTCTCTTGTTGTGATAATTATATAGAATTTATTTATCTATGAAAGTAATTAATTTTTTATTTTTATGCAATTGTTTTAAATCTATTCATTAAAAACAAACAGCTAATTTTTACATTGATTTTTTTTTTCTTTTCACTATTTACACAACACAGGACACCAGTGATATCACAAAACCTAGATGGTCTACGTAAAGATAACTTAAGGTACATAAACAACATCATGATCTTTAGATAGTCAATACTGATAATACATTTACATAAAACATAGCACATTGGTAACGTTGCCTCTAGATGATTAACAGTGATAATACATTATAATTAAAGACAAGATGAGTTACATAAGCAACATCATGACTCTTAGATGTAAGTACTGATATTACAACTCATAAACAGTGAAAATTGTTATAATATAAAGAGGATGCAAGTAAAAAAGGCAGTATCATGACCCCTAAATGATTAAACTGATTACACTTTAAGACAACATAGAATAAATACAGAGAATAGCATTTAATGTACATTTGTTATTTAATCTACATTTGTACACAAAGTTTTATTTTATGGATTATAGTTTTCATGTTAACAGTGAAGCTTTTATTTCTTTTGTGAAGTTGTTTTTGTCAGTAAATTATTACTTGTGCACATCAAAGAATGAGATAACATCATGAAAAGGTTTCCTGTTTAATCACTTTCAAGTTAGAGCTGGTTATATTGTAGAAAAGAAAGTTTCATTGTTACAAAACAATAAATCTAGTCACATGTTAACTGTAGATCAATGTATTGTACAAAGTTTTATTGAAAAATGTTTAAAAGTTATTAAAATACCATAAAAATAATAAATTTTGTTTGTTAGGACTTTCATTTCATGTTTGTTATCTAATTGTCATGTATATAGTTCTGATAGATATCAGTTCAAATGTTAAAAAACAATTATAAATAGCTTAAATGGGATGAGGAATAACCTTTTTGTAAGTAACACAACAGAAATCCTGATTAATGCTTTGCTGTTATTAATACATCATTATTATTTTCTTTTGCAATGTGTGTGTATTTTAAAAAACTATTTTGCATCCTGTTTTAGCTGTCAATTTTTTTAGTATCAAGTGTTAAAACATTGATAAGAGCTACTCATGGAAAGTCTGCCTTGTTTGAGTTCATTTTCTGACAAGAAAAATAGGTATTCTGTTTCATCTGTAAATAACTCTGGTGTACAAATGAAACTGAAGAAATTCAAATAAATTAGTCACTGTTATATTGCTGTCCTTTAGCTTAATGGGAAGGCTTTTTACACAGTGTTACAAATTTCTTGAATTAAAAAATCTTCCCGAGTATTTATGAAAAATTGCTCTTGATCTCATTATTAAAGAAAAACTTAAGACCTTAAATATAAGTTATACATGTTTTTAACTATATGAATGAAAGTATACTCCATTAAGACAAGTAAAATGTTTGATATATTAATTAATGTATGGGAGGAAGTGGACACTTCATTAGGACAAGTGGATACGTGTCATGTAGACAAGTACACAGATTAATGTATGGATATAATAAGGGTATGGATGGAAGTAGACAATTCATTAAGACAAGTGAATGTGTGTCAGTCATACAGACAAGAAAATAGATGAATTTGCATACGGTAAGAGTGTGGATGGAAGAAACACTTCATTCAGAGAAGTGGATATATGTGAGTCATATAGGCAAGTACACAGATGAATGTGTGTGTGTATGATAAGGGTATGGAAGGAAGCAGTCATTTCATTAGGACAAGTGGATATGTGTGAGTCATATAGGCAAGTACACAGATCAATATGTGTATATGATAAGGGTGTGGACAAAATTAAACACTTCATTAGGACAAGTGGATGTATGTAGACAAGTACACAGATCAATGTATATATGGTAAAGGTATGGATGGAAGTAGACGATTCATTAGGACAAGTGGAATGTCAAATATTTCTCTACACTGCACAAAACAGTTGAAGTATAATTAGAATTTTTAATGTTTTTGCTAGGATATGGCAGAACCACTGTTATAAAATAATGTCAGTCACAACAGTCCTCATGCCACCATTATGCAAATTGGGTATCCATTGATCAGTAACATGATCTGAAATGCAAGTAAATGTTTATTCAATCCATGATATGTAAGTAGTAGTCTCAGTTTTCACCGTGAAGTGGATCATGGTATTTACAATACTCCTCATAAACCATGGCTAGACCTCACAGAAGTCATTTGTATGTTTCATTCACATGAAGAACCACTGGAATGAATGAAAGCCAATCAATTACAGTAAGGTGTTGCAAGTTACCTACAAGTGTCTGTAAATGTGATTTAACAGAATGTGGAAATGTTAAAAGCCAGTAATACAATTGGTTGAGTGTCTGTACAAGGCCGACTATCATCCTCAGTACAAACAGACAACTACTGTTTACTCTATTTCACTGCTAGCCCTAGGGTATCTGCTTCAAGACTGAATCGTATGTTTACATCCACAACTGGATGCCATATCGGTGTGCAGATACTTAGAAATAGAGTTCACGAGACTGGCCTGTATGCCAGATTCAGAATGAGAAGCATTCTCCTGACAGCAAGGTACAAAACAACCTGCCTGCAAAAGTGCCAAGAGCTTATCCAGTATATTATTAGCATGTAGGTGAGTTGTGCTTCATCTGACAGACAGGTAACAGGTGTACACGCATTTGTAGAGAATCTAGAACCAGATCAAGCAAATATATTAAAATCTTTTTTTAAAGACCGATTAGTGGTCGTAAAAGACACTACATGTTTCGATGTTTATTCACGTCATCCTCAGTAGTGTGAAAAACAAATATTGTGCAACCATATAAATATAAAAAGCCATAGTTATGTGACTACTAATTTACATATCTAAAAAAATCATGCCATCTATTTACTTTCTGATTTTCTAACCCTTCATACTTATTTAAGATGAAATTATTTTTACTGTTTCATTATTTGTAGTTTCTCTAATATTTCTAGCCATCAAATTATTTAATTGAGCCAAAATATCAGTTTTTTCCCACTAGATGACATGACCAGTATAATTTACACATTCAGTTAGTGCAGAGTTTTCACTTAAACATTGTTAACATTTTTATTGTATCACTATTCATGAAAGTACCTGTTGATAAAGTTATTAATTGTTTTGAAGACAAATTACAAATGAACAATGTGCCAGTGATTGAAATTTTTTATATGATATATTTAACAAAACCTTGTGTGGAAAATTCATTTTTTCAATTTAATAAGATCTATAAATAGACTGAAGGCCTAGCTATGGGTTCTCCATTATCTCCCTTGTTGTGTGATCTTTTCATGAATAGGTTTGAAACTGATGCTTTACAGAATGCTAAACTTAAACCAGAAATATGGATTAGGTATGTCGATGAAACTTTCATGGTGTGGCGACGTGGTAAAGAAAACTTGCTAGTTTTTGTTAATTACTTAAATAGTCTTGAACCTGTTATTCAATTTACTTATGAAGTTGAAGAAAATAATGGTCTACCATTTGTGGACGTATTAGTTAAGAAAAAAAAAAGTAAGTTAGAAACTACGGTCTATCATAAACCTTTTTCTGTTATCATGCTGCCACATCAAGAATCATGTCATACAAAGTCACAATAAGTGTCAGCTTTTTACTCTTATGTTTACAGGTCTTTAAAGCTATGTTCTAATCCAGAAGATTTAAAAAATGAACTGTTATTAATCCAATATCTATCATTAAATAAAGGTTTCTTGCCTCATATTGTTGATACAGCCATGAGAAAATTTAACAAAATAACTAATGATTATCAAAAAAATAAACTAAAATTAACATTTGATAAAACAAATATAAAAGAAATGTTGTTTTTACCATATGTCCCGGGTTTGTCATGTCAACTTTTAGTTAAATTTAATTAAATTAACTAAAAAATAACTACTACTTACCTACTTTAATTGGTACCTATTAGTAACCTTAAAGTTACGTAGGGTAGGGCGAAGGAC